CCTCATGGCACACATATGGTGCAGCAGCCACTGTCATTCAGGTAGGGAAGGAGCAAGGACCGCTGTGGCTCAGAGCCCAGAAAAACCCGCAGAGGCAACAAGCTGTGGAGACAGAACCATACCTGTCAGCATGCCTTCATCCACCACACAGCTGCCATCAATCAGAAGGGCATCACATGGCATTTGCACTTTGTGGCCTGTCAAAATCAATAAATCTCCAGGCACCAGGAAGCGCGATTCCAGCTCTTGAATTCCATCTCAAAGTGTAAAGAGACAGAGTTGAATTGGGTTGGTTTTCCAAGAAAACACACCCTACCTGAGGTGCTTGTCCACATGTACATCTACAGCAGTCACCTCTGCCTACCTGTTCCGCTACCTCCAATTATAATCCAGCACCCCAGGCTTCACTCCAGTGCTAGCCCCATTCTTCCTTCTTACATAGATCTAAGATGGAAAGATCTTTTTGTTTCAGACAGATGCTTCCTTCTTAGAAGGAGGCTCATGAGAGTCGGGTTTCTTACTGAACAAAGGGCATGTAAGTACTGGATAAGGTGAGACTAGAGTGAAGCTTGTAGTACTGGGTTACAATTGGAGGTCGTCTAACAGGTAGACAACGAACTGCTGTAGACGTAGATGTGCATGGGTATGGAAACATCTAAGTTAGTAACAAAACAAAGGTGGTATAGTGGTTAAGGTGCTGGACTCCCATATGGCCAGCCACAGTTCGAATCCGGGACCTGGTGATTTGAAAATCATGCCAAGTGCATGTGGGTGTATGCCCAAAACCCCAAGAGGAAAATGGAGGAGAAGGAATTTCAGTATAGCCATTGGCCCCTGGGGAGGGGGTAATTTCTCACTTTCCCTCTCTGTGCCTCTCTCTGGTGAGTACATGCACCCTATGGCGAAAGCCTAAAAAAAGGGGGGCGGGGGGGAGAGGAGAAAAAGGAGAAAGAGAAAAAGAAGAAAAGAAGGGGAAGAAGAAAAAAAGGAGAAAAAGGAGAAGGGCATTCTTTAATATTGATTCAAAATCTGGAAATAGAAAGAAAATAATAATGAGTTAAACTATAATTAAAAACCTTTGTGTGAAAAAAATAAGCAAAGAAAACAACTAATGACAACAAAGTTTACATTGTAGACAAAAGATTAATATTCCTAATATATAAAGAGTTTCTTTAAAAAGTGATATATAGCAGGGGCCAGCAAGTGGCATGGTGGTTAAGGTGCTGGGCTCCCACATGGCAGAACACGGTTCGAGTCCTGTACTTGGTGGCTTTCACCTCTCTCTCTCTCTCTCTCTCTGTCTCTCTCTCTCTCTCTCAGTGTGTGTGTGTGTGTGTGTGTGTGTATCCGTTTCTGTCTGGTGTGTACCCTACAGCAAATTAAAGGATAGGAGTAAATAAAATTAAATAAATAATTCTTTAAAATAATTACGATTTTGATTACTGGAATATTTTGTTTGAATCCTCTTTCGAACATGTAAAGCCATTTGATTTCAGAAAAGAGGAGAGGAGAATGGAAGGGATTACAGCATGGCCGTCCTCCCTGGAGGTGATTTCTCACTTTCCTCTCACTGTTTTTTTTTCTCTCTCTCTCTCTCTCTCTCTCTTGCATGCCCTAAGGCAAAGATCTCTTAAAAATAATAATAAATAAAATAGCATAAATAATTCTTTTTAAAAAGTGATATATAGTAAATAACCATATAGCAAAACTGCTCAATAGTACACTTTGAGGACAGCCACCTAAAATACAAATGGCATGCTAAACATTTGAAAAACTGCACATTCGCATTGAAAATCAAAGAAATTCCTTCCTTCCTTCCTTCCTTCCTTCCTTCCTTCCTTCCTTCCTTCCTTCCTTCCTGGTTCCAGCCTATCTGCCTTTACATTTTTCTTCCTTATTCTGTCCCAAAGCTTTTATGGGGCTCAGCATGATAGCACCCATGCAGGGAGCTGAGTGGGAGGGGTGGCAGCCTGCTAGGGGCGTTGGAGGCCAGGGGTGGGAAGGGTGTCTACATGGCAGAGTAGAGGGTGACGGGGGCTGAACGGGAAGAGGAGGCTCATTGTGGGAAGACCATCCCACAACGGCAGGGTCTTCTGTGGGATGTTATGGTCCAAGCAGAGCAAGAAGGTATCGGCACAGAGAGGGATGGAGGCAGTAGGAGAATCGGCAGCCTTGAAAGATGGGTCGGATCAGGCAGCACGATGACAACAAGAAGGTATTTTCAGGCTAATGAGAATCGGGTCTCGTACTAAACAAAAGAGAGTTAAAGTATAGGCTGAGATAAAGCGGGGATGAAGCCCGAGGTTGGATTACCACTGGGGGAGAGTGTGACAGGTAGATAAAGAGATGACCACGGCAGGTGGGATGTGCACGGGCATGAAAACACGTGCAGGTCTGTCTCCTGGACTTTCTATTGTACATACATTCTCCATCCCGTCCTGGGACCGGCCCGGGAGCCATCGAAGACCAACAATAACGAGCACACCCAGTGCCCAAGTGTTGGCTTCTGAATTCCACCCCAGCCCTGAAAAACGGGATTCCTCAGAAAAATGGCTGATTACAAACAAGGCTGGGCCAAGGGAAGCATGATATAAGCTAGAGCATCATGCTGTTAAGTAAAGAAGTGCTCGAGGAGTGGTGAGGACACAGGAGATACCAAATCCAACGTAAGGGGCCCTTGCTGTCTAAATCTGTACAACGCGAGCATCACAGCAAATAGTAATAAAAAACTCCACCCATCAAATAAAGTAGGGATTCATGAGTCCATAATGACATAAATTAAGGAATAAAGAACTGAAGAGAAAAAAGCCTAGCTTTTCATAATAGCAAAATGGCAATTAATGTGCACCACCTGGGAGGAAGCAGTGAGAACACAGCCTTGTGTTTACTCAGGCCAAACGCGCATTGCTTAAATGTAGCTATGAGGAAACAGCATTCATTCAAACTAAGAGGCAGTCTACAAAATAGTAAGACTCCAAAAGTCAAAGTGATGAAAGTCAAGAAAAGATTGGAGATTAAAAAGGATATGGCATGGGCCAGCCCCACAGTGCAGCACTTAAAGCATGGTGCAGAGAGAGCCAGATTCCACATGGCCAACTGTAGTTCGAATCCTGGCCCTGCCAACTTGAAAAACTCTCTCTCTCTCTCTCTCCCCCTCTCTCTCTTTCTCATCCCTCCTCTATCTCTCTCTCTCTCCCCTCTCTCTCTCTTTCTCATCCCTCCTCTCTCTCTCTCTCTCTCTCTCTCACACACACACACACACACACACTCCAGCATTTAAAAAAATAAAATGACATATGAATAAAATCTGGCCTCATTCATGAGAGTCAGTAGGTTGGTATTAACTTTCTGATTACCCTATTGTGTATATAGGAGAATGCCCATTTCTTTAAGATATACACACTAAGTTATGTTGTGGTCACAGAGTCACATATTAGCAACTTATTTTCAAATAGTTCCTGGAAATATTCTTTGATCTATTCTTACAACTTTTTTGTTGTTTTAAACTATCCCTTAAAATGAAAGAGAGACATACAGCTGAGATAAATTTGCTCACCTACAGGATTAGAAATACTAGGTCATTGGAAAAGTCGTGATGCGTTTTTGCATAGAAAAACATAGAAAAAATGTGTCCTACTTCTCCAACGACCCAGTACCTAAAAGTTTGTGAGCAAACAGGCACTCACACATTTCTGGTACAAATGCAAACAGGCACAATTTCTACTGAAAGAAATTTGGTGATATTTATCTAGCCAAAGTGCATATGCATTTACACTTTAATCTAGCAATTTCATTCTCCAGAATGTATACCAAAGATATACCGGCAAAAATGGGAAAAGGCATACACACAAAACTGTCTTTGCAGCACAACGTGTAGTAACAGAAGGCTGAGAAAACAATCCCTCAGTAGAGGACTGATGGATGAAATTAACTGATGGCTCCTCCACACAAGCTAGTACTATGCAGATGAAATGATGAATCAAGAATATCTATATATATTGCTATTAAGAGTCCCTGTGAAACATATTTAAGTATGTAAAGCACAGGTTAATTATCCCTAATCCAAAAATGTAAAATTCTCCAAAATTCTAAACTTTTTGAGCACTGAAATGACACCACAAGTACAAAATTCCACACCCAACTTCACATGACTATAGTCAAAACATAGCATTACAAAAATATTTTAGAAAATTACCTTCGGGCTCTGTGTATGAGGTCTATATAAAACATAAATAAATTTTGTGTTTGGTCTCGGGGCCAATTCCCAAAATGTCTCAATTATGTATGCAAATATTACAAAATCTGAAAAAAACTGAAATAATTCTGTCTCAAGCATTTTGAATAAGGGACATTCAATGTGTATACACAACAGGAAATGTAGTGAAATATGTTTGGTATGCCACTGTTTACCTAATGTGTACCAGTCAATTGCAGTATATAAGCTTTATTTGAATCATGATTTGAAATATTTATAAATATATTTTTACATAAGAATGTATGTAACATTTTATGTTTTGTCAATTTTCTAAATATGTGCAAGGAGACTTCACAAATTTTACGGAAAGGCCCAACAGGTGGTGTGGTGGTTAATGTACTGGACTCCCATATGGACAACTGTGGTTCAAGTCCCAGACCTGGAGGTCTAAGAATCACACCAGCACATGTGCGTGCATGCCCAAGATCCCTAGAGGGCAATGGAAGATAAGGGATTGTGACGTGGCCATCCCTACCGTGTGTGTGTGTGTGTGTGTGTGTGGGGGGGTGATGAAGAGGCTCTCTTGCCCCCTCTCCGTCTCTCTCCATGAGCCCACACACCCTATAGCAAAAACCTAGAAAAAAAAGTTCACAGAAAATGGAATTAAAATATGTTCATTTTGGTGCAAAATAGTTTTGAAATTTATGCACACCTTTTTCATAATACTCATTTTCTTGAACATGTTGAAAACCCCTTGCATATAAAATAACATTTACCTATAATAAATATTATAATACATACACTCACACACTTGTGATTTAATTGATGAAATTTGAACATTTCCTGTATAAAGGATATATTTTTTTAGTGTGCTTTTTTTTTCAATGTACAAAAGAATTTAAAATAATTGGACTGAAAAGTGGTGCAGTGGTAATGCAATATTCTGTGAGCCTGACCCGCATGGAACAGTTCTATGTTCATATCTGGAGACGTCCCTAAACCTTCTGGGGTAAGCATGCACATGATCTGGGGCCAGCTGAAGCTTTGGTGGACAATGGCATG